TACATTTACATTAAATTTTTTTCTATTTTGGCAACAGACCATCAGATGGACTCGCTGAAACACAAATGCAAAGAATAAAAGATTTTTTTACACACAATATGATTTTTTCAAATTATATAATTAAGATATAAAAATGCTATTTTTAAGTTATTTACAAAATGGTATAATGTAGATATTATTTTTATACATTATAACATTTTTCTAAATATCTAAAAATAATGTAAGAAAACAAAATACTTAAAAAATATATCATATTTAGATTTGAATTTATAAGGTGTATTTTAAGATTTTTAATATTTTGATATTATATTAATATATATAATGTAAGAAATATTTTTATTCAAATAAAGTTTATATGTTTATATATATATAATTTTGTATAGAATAAAAAAATCAAGAGCTCAATCTCTTCAAAAGTACCTGAAATCTTCAATCTCTTCAAATTCAGTTGTAACAAATAAATAAATACAAATTCTTGGGAATTTTTTTTTTTTTGTGTGTTTAATAATATTTATTTATTTTTAAATTGGATTAGGTTTTGTCTAGTATTATGGAAACAGTATTTGTTAATGGCAAATCTCCACTTAAACAACTGTGTGTGTCATAAACCTAGAAAATACACACAAATATGAATACGCAGAAGCACAAAAGACACTCCTCAATTGGCAAAAGTACCAAACAAACATGTTTTAGCAGCTTTTACTCATTTTTAATGATGTGGTGTTTTGGTGAAGGAGAATTGTATGAGCTTCTTCACATCTTTTCTTGAAAGGCTTCAGAGCCAGGCTTATTTTTGTGTGTCACACAGTAATTCCTTGTCTGATTTTTTTTTCTCTCTCCATTTTGCCTCAGTAACTAAAACGACCACAGAGCAACAGTCAAATAATAAAACACAAACAGAGAGAGCTGCAGGAGGGATTTTAAAAAGCACAAGAACAAACTGGATGAAAGAGAAATACAGTGGAGGAGAAAAGAAAGAGGCAATGTGCTGGATGACCGTAAAATTAAATAGAAAAAATAAAACAAATCTATAAAAGAAACACACACACACACACACACACACACACACACAAATAAATAAAACCCAAATCATTAATTTAATAAAACATGACCTATTTACTCATAAAAAGGCTTTTGTTTTTCTTATTTCAAACAGAAATGTACTTATGAGGACTCAAATGAGAACTATGGGAAATTCCAACAATTTCACAGGGATTTGGTTAAAGGAACACTGAAGCGTGTGGAAAACTGTTCATCAGCCTAGAATGACTCACAACAACACATTCCAAACGGAAAAGCCGGTAATTATACAGTATATTCATGGTGTTGGAATTAAAGGAAATTCCTATTTAGTGAATTTTTATTGTCCAGACATTGAGCTATTTGTGCATCTCTCTCTCTCAATCTATCTTCCCCTCGGTCTTTGTTGGATCGATTTGCACGCTCCATCTGTGGAATCCGTCATGACGGCCGGGGCTCTCAGTGGAGGCCGTCACCTGCCCTGGAGGGGGTGGAAGGGGCAGAAAGAAGGCCAAAGGTGGGTGGGTGGCAGGGCAGAAAGGGAAAAGGGTGGGCTCGGTAGTTCAAGTGCTCAATCTCTTCAAAAACCCATTGAGAAAAAGCGGACCTGAGACTTGGATGTGGAAACATATGATTCACAGATCTGAGACCTATCAAAAAAGTCTAGTCTATTGAAGGAATGAGAGCTAAATAATGAGTCATCTATAGGTTTTCTTACTGTGCACTCGCATTAATAACTCTCAAGTAAAGGGATATTTTAATCAAAACCTGTAATTTTTTGTCATATATTTACTTAAAGATTTCAATTTAGAAGTTATTTCTATATGATCTAACCCTTAAATTTAGTTTTATTAGTGTAACTTGATGTATTTATGGTGATTGGGTGACTTAAAAATGATACATTATAAGTTAATTTATTATATTATATTAATTATATCTTTGACTTTAATTAAAAAAATAATAATATGATTTTTTTAACCATGTTTTACGTTGAAACTACCAAGCTCCAAAAAAGCTCCACTAAGTGGCTGTGTTCTTCTGTGCTGTTTTTTTAATTACATTTTTACTATGTTGGTCTAAATATGCTTTATTAGTGATATCAAACAGCTTTGGTTTTCACATCACGTAAAGTAATTGTGATGTGGCAAGTTTGAAAAATGTAAAAATGAGACTTGATACCAGAAGAGATAATTATAAGTGAAAAACAACTGTGAATTTTGACACAAATCTATTGTATGAAATATAGTGCACATGTTTCATGGACTACTTTTATTATACTTTTGAGGTGTTTTTTGTCATTTTAGGCATTTAACAGATGCAATTTTGTCGTTGTATGGAAAAATAAACCTGTATCGGAATACAGGATCAGTTTTTCACCCAAATCTGTCAGAAGAATAAAATATATTGCACAGGTTTCTTTAATAACACTATTATGGTGTTTTTTGTTATTTTAGGAGCTTGACAGAAAAAAGACCAGAGTTTTCACAAGAAAGAAAATACAGGATCAAAACACAAGGGTGAGTAAATGGTGTCAAAATGTTCATTGATCAAACAGGCTGCGTTCTTCTGTGCTATTTCTTTAGTTTAATTTCTTACTATGTCTGTCTATGTAAATATGCTCTAGACATTTATTGTATCAAACAGATTGGTCCTCACGTCACATAAAGTGATTGCAATGTGGCGAGTCTGAAAAATCTCAAACGAGACACACTTGAAATTTTGATCAGTTCTTTACAAAAATCTACTGTATGTCTACAGAAGACTTGAAATATAGTACACAAGTTGCATGGACTACTTCTATGATACTTTTATGGTGCTTTTTGAAAGGAAAGGAAATAGAGGATTGGAAAAATGTTCATTTTTGACATCTAATCATCAGGTAGCAAACAAGTAAGTGCTTGCATCTTTATATTTTTGCTGACTGAATGAGAATCAAGGCAAGTGAATAAACAGAACCAAAGAGCAAACAGTAAACACGGGTTTAATTCGGGCAGAAGAATACAGACCACAGGCTTCTAAACACACACAACCAAAACCCAAACGTCATGGAAATGGAACCGCTGGAGAATCTAGAGATATTCTGCCTTCTGTAAATACACAGAGTGCGTATGTGTGTGTGGTTTTAGGTCTTTGGCATGTAAAGTTAACGTGTAGTGTGCATGAGTATGTGTTTTAAGATATTTTAGCCCTCCGCTATGTAAACGGTGCGGTCACTAAAAGCATCTCCATCCGCCGTTTCTCTTCAGCTCTGGGCCCTCGTTGTTTAAATTCAATATTCGGAGGCGAAATATCACCCCGAGCCCATTTACCTCATGCATTCATGTACACAAAATCCACCTAAGGAGTTTCATTAATACTGCGAGACGGCGATCGCATATCCAGCAGGCTTTTGCACTTAGTTTTGGTCGGGGCAAGCGGCAGAGGTCCAAGATAAAACCATATGTGCGTGTGTAGCGTTAGTCTGTGTGTGTGTGAGCGATTCTCTTGGGGGCAGGTAATGAAGAGAGCTAATTGAGCCAATGACATGCCCCCTCGCCATCAAAAACAGCCAAAAAAGAAAGACAAAGACATGCATAAAAAAAGCTTGGGAACAAATGCAGCGTCTCGGAGAGGGGAGAGCGAGGCGGGTCCTTTTCAGCGCCGAGGTTGGCTGAGTGACTGCCCGACTACATTAAGCAGTACATAGAGAACTAACAGATGTCGGAGACAGAAAGGATGAGTGACAGCTCGTGGGCCCATCTGCCCCCCAGCGTTTAGGAACAGAGAGAAACAGAGGGAGGACTTGACTTGCTAAAGAGCAACTGTGACCCTCGCAGCTGCCCTCAAACAACCACACGTTTCAGCTCTGAACCAAATGTGCTCTTGGTCTGTTTAGCCTCTTTTGCTTTGCTCTCGAGTCACTTTTGATACGTTTTTTTTGCTTGTGTGGCTTTTGTAAAAGAAGCTAGTGTGTGAAACAGCATGCAGTATGCAACTATGAACATTTCAAAGTAGTACAGTGCACGATATGGCTTCATCACACTTGGCATCATGCAATTAATTAGAGATGATTATTTAGCATTTTTAATCCAAGTTTCTGTAGAAATGCGCTAGCTTACACTACCATTCAAAAGTTAAATGAAATTAATACTTTTATTCAGCAAGGATGCATTAAATTGATCAATAGTAACAGTAAAGACTTTTATGTTACAAAAGATTTGCTGTTCTTTTTGAACTTTCTATTCATCAAATAATCCTGAAAAAATGATCAGAGTTTCCATAAAAACTGTTTTTAACATGTTTCTTGGACAACAAATCAGCATATTAAAATATTTTATTAGGGATCATGTAACACTGAAGACTGGAGTAATGATGCTGAAAATTCAGCTTTGCATCACAGCAATAAATTACATTTTAAAGTATATATTTAAATAGAAAACAGCTACTTTAAATTGTAATAATATTTCAGAATATTACAGATTTTACTGTATTTTTGATCAAAATAATGCAGCCCTAGTGAGCAAAAGAGACTACTTTCAAAAACATACAAAAATCCAATCAACAGCAGTGTATCTCAGTCCAATCAAGATGTAAGTCAAGTATTAGATTGCTGTTAATATATTACTGGAGATGCAATATCAGGCCAGTACATTGTAGTATTCCTTAAAGTGTGTATATTGCACATTTTCACAATTGTGGTGGAAAATGTGCATCCTATGCTGACATAGTAAGATAAGTAAGATGCTATTTCAAATATAGTTAGTGCATTTATGCTGAAGGGAATAGGAGTTAAAACAGGAAGTGGTCACCTGTCACTCTAAACATACTCCCATGTGACCTTTGATCAATGGAGGTCAAACGCCAGTGACCTCAGACTGCTCTGTTTAACAACTTAAAACAAGTGTTTGTTGGCCATCAGCTAAAACAATGTACCACCTTTTTTTAAACAAACTAAGCAAGAAACTGCACTTTGTGGTTGTGATTAGGTGAGTTGATTCATATTTTCATATACAAGTCCTATGCTCACTTATCAACTATCCAATAAAAAGCAGCCGCCCTGAACTCTCTGCGTTGTTTTCGTGCTCTCTGTGTGCTAACTGACACACACATACTGTAGTTTTGCCTTCAGGGCCTGAACTCAAGCAGACACGGATTCCTAAGTCTGCTGACCCTGACGCTGCACGCTGGACACAATGGAGACAGTTTTGTTTGGGGGGTTTCCCCGCATTGCCATCCAACTGTACTCCTCTCACTGTCTGCCTCACTCTGTGTCATAAAAGGGAGCAATGCATGCTTTAATATTTCACATACAATAAAAATACTCCCAAAATAGACTGAATTTTTCACTTAGAGATGTTAAGGTCTAGCCAAGTTTGTCTTGACGAAATTTCCTTTTTTAGGTCTTCTTGGTGGTGCATTTGTGTTTTTGTGTTTGTGTTTGTGTGCATGTGTTTGTTTTGGCTGCCAGAGTGAATTACGACCCGCTGACTGCACACTCCATGGTGCCACACAAACCATCCCACATTGGGCCAGTTGGCACTGTTTGTGTATGCATGTGTACGTGTGTGCATCCATGTGTGCATTTGCATGTTTGTGCATGTGCATATGTTTGGCAGCGTGTGCATATGTGCGTATTATAGGAGTGTCAACCATTTTACACTTTTCAAAATATACTTCTAAGTAGACTTTTCTGATTTGAGCATACTATATTTGTTCCAATATGACACAATGCGTGCAAGGAAACGAATAGGGAACATTCTCAGAACTTTGTGTTCTGCGTTCTGGCAAGGTTCTCTCAAAGTTATGAACAAAGAGCATTCCGGTAACATTAATAGAATATTCGTCTTTACAACGTTGGTCTGTAACATTAGCACAAAATCATTATTTATACATCATTCATGGAAAGTTTTTTTTCTGGTTGCACGTTTGTCTAACATTTCTTGAACAGTACTACTAGTTTCAGAAGGTTCAGAGGACATTCATTAGTAACATTCCCATAATGTTTGTAAAATTATAAAATAGAACATTCCCTTAATGTTTTCTGCAACATTCATAAATCTAAGAATTTTTAAAAAATATTTAAAAACTGGATATTTTCGGTAGTTCAGAGAACATTTAAGAGAACATTCAGAAATAACATCCTAATAACTTAATGGAAACGTTACCAAAATGTTCTTAAATGTTTTTCTTTTAAATTTGTTGCATGTTTGTCTGTTTTTTTAAATGTTACTACTTAATAGTTTCAGATGGTTCCAAAAAGTAACATTCCCATAATGTTTACAAAATGATCAAATGGAACCTTAATGTTTTCTCTAATGTTCAACCAAGAAAAAAAAATGTTTTTTTAAACCGAGCATTTTGAATGTTCAGAGAATATTCGCAAATGGTGTTTTTATGGTGTTTTTTAATGGGAACGTTAGCAAAATGCTCATATAGAACATATTTTTTGTTAGCTGGGCGTTTTGGAGGACAGCAACAGCGAGATTTCATAAGCTACAGTCTCCCCGCACACGCGCCAACATCTTTGAGTCTTTAAGATGATATATGAAGACAGTATGAAGGAAAGGGTTCAGGAATCAAGCTGTTGCCTATTCAAAAGAAGGGTGTAAATACTGAACTCAACTTGCCTGTCTGTGTCTCCCAGGAAAGGAGGGGCAGTGGGAATGGCAGGGACTGACAACGGCCCACAGATATTAATCGAAAATGCGCCGCAGGCCAAGAGAGGTAGAACAAGGCATGAGGAGAACGGAGGAGAAAAAGAGCAAGGCCTGTTGAACTCATTGGCCAGATGAAAGCGAAGTTCAAATAAAGAGCCTGATTTAATCGGCTCGGGCAACTCGTCTTTCTTGGATCGCGAGACGGGCAGAGCGTGACGGACAGCACGCATGACGAGAGGCTCGTCCCCTTTGTGACCGCCGCTCCGGGCCATGAAGGAACAGCCGAGGAGAACACTGGTCCCTATTGACGGAAAAAGCCTTTAATAAACTCCCATCGCCATTAAGAATGACACTGCATCCCGATCAGTATTATTTAGGGAGCTGAAGTGGTGTTAGCAGGGCATCAGAGGCAGTCAAATAACATTCACCTTAATTAGTCACGCAGGGACAGGCTGTTAGCTCATTAAATATCATTACAGAACAGCAAAACATCAGTCACTTCAGCTGTCGGCCAGTAGGCAGCAAGAAGGCAAAAATAGACTCTCTTCCACTGTTTTTATCAACTTTTTTCCCCTTTTGATTCCTCTGAGGCCGCTTTGCACAGAAATGCTACAGCTGTCCTTTCTTAACAATTCATTGTGTTGTCATATTTTAATATTTATGATAATTTCTCCTTCAGAGTTTCACAGAAAGAAAGTCATATGGGTTTGGAAGGACATGAGTGAGAGTAAATTATGACAATTGTCTTGTTTTTTAATTGATTATCCAATTTGTTCTAGTATATACAGTAACTTATATATTTCCTTAATTTTGTATAATTTTAAGGAAATGCAGAACTCCATCTAAAACCCTCATTGCTTTTGTAGAATGAAAATATCATTGTGGCCACATTACCCACTTTTTCCAGATTTCGCAACTTTTTTATTTCACTTCCTTCATGCCTGTTGCATAATATTTATTAATATTCTTGGGAATTACTTTTTTTTTTGTGAACACTTATTTACTTGTTTTGTTAACAAAAATTGACTTTGATATATCTGCTTGATAACAAAATATTGAAATGTATCCTGCTATCTCTGTTTTTTCATATAATTATTTATTTGGTTGTTTATTCATAATTTTTCCACTTTCTGTTAATTCAGGGTTGTGGAACGGGGTGGGGAAAGAATACATAATTCTGCAATAGTTTGAACTTTTTGTGTCTAAACATGTTTGAAAAATTAATAAATAAAGTGCAAAAAAATATTCTTGGGAATTACTGGTTATTGATAATCAGTAAATCTAACTCATCATTAATGCAATGTAATTAATTAATATAGGCTATTAGAAGCATTACAAGTGAATACACCACATTTTTGTTTATATTTCTGCTTTATAAACCACCAGTCAAAGTTTTGGGCACCTCACTGTTTACTATTATCCTCAAATGTGTAAAATAGTCATAATAAAGTCATCAAAACTATGAAATAACACAAATAGAAGTATGACAATTATGCATTGACCAAGAAATGTTAAACAAATGAAACTGTCTAGATTCCAGTTCTACGCATTCTAGAAATTCTCTCAACCAATTTCATGAAGTGCATCCTGGGATGGTTTTGAAAACTACTGAAAAGCATGCATTCTGGACACTTGTTGCCCGGTTTCCTTCATTATCCAATCTGTCCATTTAAAAAATGTTTTGCTGAGAAATTCTTGGGAACAATTTATATTAATGCGCAAAGCTTTTCAAGCATTTTCAAGTAAAATTTCCAAAAAATTGCTAGTAGTGTGGGCTAATTTTTTTCTTTTGTTACTGGCTAAAACGATAGGAATCTTTATGAGTTTGTATCACTATTATAGGCCCCAAGTGTTCAATCCATTTATATATTCAGGAAAACATAGCCTATAGGTCTATCACCATTCTAATTTTCTTGGGAACAATTTATATTAATGCGCAAAGCTTGTCAAGCATTTTCAAGTAAAATTTCCAAAACATTGCTAGTAGTGTGGGCTAATTTTTTTCTTTTGTTACTGGCTAAAACGATAGGAACCTTTATGAGTTTGTATCACTATTATAGGCCCCAAGTGTTCAATCCATTTATATATTCAGGAAAACATAGCCTATAGGTCTATCACCATTCTAATTAAATTCCAATTAGTTAAAAGCACATCTTTCCAACAACTCCAGATCATGTACAGTCCTCCTGCCACAGTTCTTTCTGAAATCTGTTGATATTAAAGCATAAAGAGTTTGTAGGATCCACTCACATCTGTCTGCGAGAATCCCCTCGATGCTGTGTCCGCTCCTGCGGGCGTGTTCTTCCAGCTCGCGCTTCTCGATGTCCTCTTCATCCTCCTCCTCCTCATCGTCACCTCTTGCGCCATATCGGCCTCTCATGATGCGGCTTATTGCACTCACTGGACAAGAGTTGAACCAAATCCGTAAGTGCTCTTAATATGTTTTCTAGCTTTTAATATACTAGTATGCATTTCATAGTATGCATTTAATTTTTTAAACGTTTCAGTAACTGCAGAGGTTAGATGACAAGTAGCCTAGTCTGAGTGTGTCGTTTACGTTTTGTGGTTACTAAAACTAGTGAAGACACTCGCTGTAGTTGCCTAACTTCAAAGTCACTTTAAGGCTATTATTATTATTATAAGGGTATTCTATAGTCTTTGCTAACTTTAGAGCTAACCAACAGAAATCGCGTTCGCCAGGTAACCATAGCAACAGTACGTCGATGTTGACAAAACACGCGCTATTTGCATTTTTTTATATATCACAAAATTTAAAAAAAAAAAAATTTTGTTACGTCTTTAAGACAGTTGACGGTTGACTGTGAGGGAAATGCAAATGTAAAAGTTTTTTTTTTTTTTTTTTATAAATAATTCGCACACTGCAGTTCCTGTATTTTTTCGTTATGTTTTAAGCATAGCCTACCTGAAGGCACGTTGTTCCGGTCACAAATTCCTTCTTTGAGCAATTTATCACGAATTTCCCAACTGAATATTCCGGGATTTTCCCGTTTATATTCCTCAACGCGCTTCTCCACATGTAGAGATGAAGTCTGTTAAAAATAATAAAAATAAAAACAGTGAACAAGGTGCCTGATTCAATTCAAAGACTCTTATTTCAAATTCAGGGTCATTATGTCAAAAGACACTCGGCGTTTTCAGTTAGTAATCGACCTGTTGCTTTGAGTTTATCCACAAATTTCCTTGGAAATATAAGCTACTCCGAGCAGCTGAGTCCTTAACCATCTTCAAGAAATGACTAAAAACACATCTGTTCCACCTTTATTTGACCCTCTAACTCTAGCACTTTCTATTCTATTTTAATTCTACTTTATCTATATGTATCTTCTTTTTTGTTTTATTTTTTATTTAAAAAAAACAACAACAACAAAAAACTAACAAAAACTAGCTTTCTATTTTTTCTATTCTATCTACTTGTTTTTCTTTGTGTGTGTGTGTGTGTGTATGTGTGTGTGTATAATATATGTATGTATGTGTGTATATATATATATATATGTATATATGCAGTGGTGTAGTGGTACCTGGAGAAGTGGGTATACTCTTAATTTATACCATTAAATAGTTGTCTCGGTGTCTCCAGGGTCCGGCCTCTTTGGCGTTGTACTATGGTAAGTGTTGTGCAGTCACTGGGCCAGTGTGTGCGGGAGAAACAGACATATAAACAGATGTGCGCACATCGGGCCTGATGGTCCAGACAGTCACAGCGATAGTGGTACCATGAGAACAAGGGGAGGTCACACTGAATGGTACAGAAATATCAATTTCATTGGAGGTGAACATTTTGATCGTCAGTTTCGTTCTTTACAGTTTGGTCCTTGGTTTTGTGAGTCAGCAAGACAAACACTGGGTTCAGGTAAGTGTTGTGCAGTCACTGGGCCAGTGTGTGCGGGAGAAACAGACATATAAACAGGTGTGCGCACATCGGGCCTGATGGTCCAGACAGTCACAGCGATAGTGGTACCATGAGAACAAGGGGAGGTCACACTGAATGGTACAGAAATATCAATTTCATTGGAGGTGAACATTTTGATCGTCAGTTTCGTTCTTTACAGTTTGGTCCTTGTGTATATATGTGTATATGTATGTGTGTGTTTGTTTGTATGTATGTATGTATGTATGTGTGTGTATGTATATATATATACACACCTTGCTACGTGTACTGTGTTAGGCTAACCGAGACTTGTCATTTGCACTTATATATTGTTGCTCTTTTGTTAGTTTTGACTGCTTTTATTGTCCTCATTTGTAAGTCGCTTTGGATAAAAGCGTCTGCTAAATGACTAAATAAATAAATAAAATAAATATAAATAAAAATATCCGCACGCCCAGCTGCAACAGATGAATCCGCACTTCAATGCCTCCCTATAGGGCCTCACCTTGGATTTAGTGCCGCCGATGGCTCCAGGCCGGATGGATCCAGTCTCCTGATAGCGGCACAGGATTTTGGAGACGCAGCCGTGAGAGACTCTGAGCTGGCGGGATATCATGCAGGGCCGGATCCCGTGATGGGCCATCTCCACTATCTTATGTCGAATGTGGTTCGGTAGAGGCCGGCCGTTGATGAAAACTCCTCCAAGCTGGTTGACTCGACCCTGACCTATTGGAGTTGAAACTGCATCGAAGCCAACCCAAATTATGACAGTGGAGAGATAACATAATTGCAGAAACATGAAAGAAAAAATCATTCTGCATAGGTAAATAGGCCTAACTGAAGTGCTTCTAAGGAAGGGGTAAGACAGTTCAAGTAGCCTATAGGCTCCATGTGCATTTAATTCTCTGACATAAAAGCAACCCAGTAAAACGTCAGTATAATTGCTGCTTTAAATTTTAGGTAAACAAAAATGTTGCTAAAGTTACAATATTGTTTCCAGCCTATGTAAATTTATTGACTGATTCAGAAACTCTGAACTCATGCAATTGAGTAGGCTATCGCGACAGATAATTAAATGCATTTAAACAAATAGTCTATTGTTAATGATGAAAATATAGAAATGATGATTCCGATTAAAACAGCCTTACAGCTTTAACTTTGTAACTTTTTTTTTACATCAATAACTTTTTTATCTAATACCCTGAAGTGACAGCTGTACAGTGAAATAGTTAGCCTATTAGTTCTTCATATATGAAAGGTAGCTACTTTGCTAATACAATGAATCACTGAAGAAAAAAAACATTTAAGAATGAAGAAGTCAGAAAAGCAACATAATACAATATGTATACTAGCAACACATAACTTTTAATATTATAATATTTAAATCTCAGCAAAAGTAAAATAAAAAAAAAAACACATTTGGAAAAGTAACTTCACCGTTTTTAGTCAAGTAGGTTAAGTCTACTCATGCAACACAAATACCAAAATGGTTTACACGTGGGCTTCCACTATTAAATTAAACCATTTTAATGTGCATATTTAATGTAACATATTTACCCTCCATTGGGAAGCCGCTGCGGGGATAGTTCTGAGAGAGAGATGGACGCATCATCCTGCACTTCAACAGGCTTAAAAATGCATGTAAATATTCCACAATCAAAAACAAAAAGCATAAGCTCCGATGGTCTTTTTGTATCTTTACATGAAGAACATAAGAATAAGTACTCGAGGATGAAATTAAATGTTATTAATCAGATGTAGTCTCTTCTTTTTTGTGGTCCTTGGTCGTTGTTTTCATTATGTGACGAGAATTATAATCGCAGCGTTATTGTTATTAACAAGCGTTTAGGATGAGCGCGAGTTCTCAAACTACGGAGACATAACATTTCTGAGTTTGCAGAGACCCCTTGTCTAGTACTCGAACAGCGCGTTCTGATTGGTCCACAGGATCCCGTAACCGATAGCTGATTGGTCGACGAAGTACACTTTGCTCTCTAAAAGCGTTCCAAAGTGGACATCGAAAATATTTCAGCGACTGATGATGATGATGTGTAATTAAATTATACTTAAAATATTAAAAAAATACACAGACATGCAAACACTACAAAATATAATAAAATAGCAAATTATAATATAACGTAGACTATTTAGGCCTAGTGACAGTGAAACAATAATGTAATAACATAACAAATCAAAGACAGAATGAATCCATTTAAATGAACAAAAATGTATTCACTTAAAAAGATTGACTCTGTTATTTAACACTCTCTCTGACTGATCCACACACACACACACACACACACACAGTGACTTCAATGACATGTGGCTCTTTTGTTGGCCTAAAAAGAAACTTCAAATGTTTTCTTTCTGCCTGCGCGCGGGGACAATGGGGCGCACGCGGGAGGGAAACACGCGGGGGAAACGGGGGTCCTTTCACGTGCAAAACACTAGGCTAGATTATTCTCTCTTACTTAAAAAGTTAAACCAACGCCAAAGAGGCCGGACCCTGGAGACACCGAGACAACTATTTAATGCTTAACAAAGAATGTGTGTGCGTGCTTGTTAATGTGTTTCTATTCGATGCATTAATTGCATTATTCATTATTTTCCTGTCAGGTTTATATTTTTTTTTTATTACGTAATTATCTGTTTATATCTGCTGTAAGTCATCTTATATTTGTACATTTAGCCTACAGAGGCTGAATAGGAAATACATGTAGAGAATTCGCAGGACATCTGAAGTTTCGTTAACTTTACGTAATTATCTGTTTATATCTGCTGTAAGTCATCTCATATTTGTACATTTAGCCTACAGAGGCTGAATAGGAAATACATGTAGAGAATTCGCAGGACATCTGAAGTTTCGTTAACTCTGAAAAATAAGGTTCTAAATAGAACCAAACGGATAGGAGAATGTATGTTTAAAACAAACGGATTATTATGCATTAATCTCCTACTTTAAACTTCTAATAAAAGCCTAATATACTGGCATGGTGTGAAACTTGAAAATGTACAGTACATCTACCTTATTAAAAATTATAGTTTTTCTGGGTTCTTTACCGTTTATTCAGCATAAAAAAAAAACAGGGTGGTTGTTTGAAAAGGAGAGAACATGCGGCGGTATGATGCATGTTTCAGCTTTGAAACACCGGATCTGCGTGTCGAATCCATTTTTGGAGAACAAATCTCGAGCAGAGGTGCGCTCTGATGTGAGCTTAATTAGTTTTATTATCAAGGGTCAAATATCAATATTCTCTAAGCAAATAGGCCTAGTGTCAAAATAATTTGAATCGGTTTTACAATATGAAAGTTGTTAAAAAGTTTGAAATACATGCTTTTAGTCAAGACAAAGACATCTGAATAGCTTTTTGTAACTGTGATCACCTTACAAAATAACATGATACTGAGTATGTCGGCCAAAACTGTCATTAAAATTAGACTAGGTTTGCCAGTGTTGGAAAGAAAAGTGTATAAACCTGTACAGGAATGTAGCAAGAATTCACCAACACAAACACCATTTGACCATTTAATGAACTTCTTGAACAGTGCATATGTTGTTGTGTCATTTGTCTTGTGATCTGTCTTGTCCAGCCTGAGGAAGGTCACCACCACTTTAACCTCAATTAGATGGGGTTCACTCAGAGAAAACGTAAATCCTCCCCAAAGACAACTTTAGGATCAAATCATCTGTCCTGCATTTACTGGCACAAGCATGAGCTCCAGGCTAGAGAAGGCATGGTGCGGATGGAGGACAACATCGTTGAGATATCCTGAGACAGCTATAGGTACTGAAAACATTTATCATTCAGAAAAGCTGTCTGAAAACATTAATTTGTTTCACAGAAATGCTATTGGAAATAAAATATTGCACTTTTATTCCACCTTATTTTTAACGTTTTTGACGCGGCTATATTTGTTCCCAGAATGTTCGAGGAATGGAGGCTTCCGGTGTAATTCACTTCCTGTTATTTTACCTGTTCAAAAACAATCCGTTATGCTGCTTGATATCGCAAACATAGGCCTATTTGTTATCATACTTTTTATATTTATTTTCGTAATCATGAACACACTCGTTTACAATTTACAAACGAATAGTTTTACCATTTACTGCACTTGTTATTCTTAGTTATCAAAGTTAAAACTTGAAACTTCCGCGTTTCAAAATACGGTGGATACATGCACACACACATGCAGTGAGTTCATATTGTATATATGAATTACATGAAAACAGCCTTTTTATTCATTTTTCTCATTTATTAGCCAACCGAGAGGTGTGTTCTTGTATGTCAACAGAACAATTTCAATGTGCAAATACAATTCAAACAGGTTTCACAACAATTATTGAGGCATAATAGTAAAAACACACATTTCCTAATTCTAATAAACATATTACAGAGTATATAAGGGCTGTGTACAAAGCCCTACGTATAGTGTTACTAACAGGGCTGGAGTGCATTAAGGGAAGTATAGTCATCCCAGGCAGTAACACTGGGTTCAGGTAAGTGTTGTGCAGTCACTGGGCCAGTGTGTGCGGGAGAAACAGACATATAAACAGGTGTGCGCACATCGGGCCTGATGGTCCAGACAGTCACAGCGATAGTGGTACCATGAGAACAAGGGGAGGTCACACTGAATGGTACAGAAATATCAATTTCATTGGAGGTGAACATTTTGATCGTCAGTTTCGTTCTTTACAGTTTGGTCCTTGGTTTTGTGAGTCAGCAAGACCAAGCAGACTGAGTTCACAACAGACTGTTTCTGTTTCCTTTCAGGCTCACATCTATGAAACAACTGGACCAGGACAGAGGACAAGAGCATCTTCTCTCTTCTCCTTATCCTCATCCCTGTTGAAAAGACCAGCATACAGTATATTGAGCTTTGAATGCTGGTGTGCCTTCCAGGTCTCTTGACCAGCAAGATTTTCTTGGTCCACCAGCTTTTCCAGCAAGACCAGCACTAACCAGCAGTTTACACTACTGTTCAAAGTTTGGATTCGGTAAGATTTTTCAGTGTTTTTGAAACAAGTTTGTTAAGTTTACTATTTATTTGATCAAAAGCACAGTAAAAACAGTAATATTGTGAAATATCATTACAGATAACTGTTTTCTATTCCTGTGAGCAAAGCTGAATTTTCAGCATCATTACTCCAGTCTTCAATGTCACATGATCCTTCAGAAATCATTCAGATTTTCTGCTCAAGAAACATTTCTGATTATTATCAGCGTTCAAAGCTGCTTAATTTAATATGATGTCACGTTCTTTCTTTTAAAAAAGAAAAAAACCTTACTGACCCCAAACTTTGTTGTTGGTCTTTTCAGCAGGGATCAAAAAGGCAGTAAACCGAGGTCATTGTGTAAAGTAAAATGATATATATATATATATAGCTGTGAAGCTGGTGACTACATAACACTACTGCACATTATACTACTTTCTCTACAAGTGTTGCTTTGTACAGCACGGATAACAGCAGATAATGGCTGTTTACTTCCTTAACACTCAGGGAAATAGCCTTTGCTTGTCTAAATCACTGCTGCAATCATTCAAATACCCCCACATTCACTTTATAAAACCTTCCTTACAAAAATCTAAGCAAAACCTATACACAAATGACTGCGTCACTACACTTGTCTACCAACAGAGGGCAGACCTGGTTTGATCCATTGTATCTGCCTACAACAACAGCACAACTTTATAGAAAATTCACTTGATAATTCCTATTAAAATGTTCAATTCCTTCAATAAATAAACCAATAAATAAAAAGTAAAGGCACATAAGAGCTAATTTAAAGAAGTAGTGATTGAAAATGATTTACACACCCTCATGTTTTGCTCTTGTCCTCTTTGGAACATGATGTTTTCCATATTTCTCCTTTTGTGTTCCACAGATAAAGCAAGAGGATTCGGGAATAACTTGAGGGTGGGTAAATTACAGAATTGTAATTTTTTGGATGAACTATCCCTTTAAGGGAATATGATCAAGTATGTTTACCATTCTAAAGAAAATGGCCTTTACCCTAATAGAAGGAAATTTAGGTGTCAAGTGTCCTTAATCATCGTCATAAAACCATTAAGTCTAAACAATCTGGATGATATATTAAGTATAATGCCAAAGCAGGCTAGTTGTGTTTTGCACTCAAGTTAACAAGCCACAGTTAGCTGGATGAATATATCAGTTTATGACACCAAGACAAATGCCTTATGGGAGAAATGCAAAGTTTCATAAGTGGGTCAGTAAACACTTGAAAGCACCTCTTGGCTGCAGTCCCAGTGTGCGAGTCTTTATCATTGATTTCTCTATGGCTGCATCCTGTCACTGCAAGGACACAGCAAAACTAGCTGCTCTTCAGGTGTCAGATTCCTTTTTGCTTCACCCGCATCTTTTCTAAATGTTCACATTCAATTCACATTAGCGAAATTTGGCGGGTTAAAAAAACACCATTGTCAGTTTTATAAGTCACAGGCTCGCACAAAAGTCACTTTCATACCAAGCAGCTTTCTGTTTGTCAACGCGAGCGAAATCTGTGTTTGGCAACTTTTTTTCAGGCGAAAAAAGTCATTCCTATTTGAACGACTGGAATTTGGCTGCGCAATTTCGTTGAGCAACGGTAAATG